ACATTTGCAAACAAATATATTATTTTTCTCCCTCTTTTTTTAACATAGTTGTTAGATAACCTTCTAACAATTATTTTGTTCTATACCTTGCTTTTTTCCCCTTAGTCTGGTTTGCATATAATTTTGTTTCATATATAATTTCTTATTCTTTTTATGATAGCTGTCTTCTATTAATGGACAGTTTGATTATTTCCAGTCTTTTGCCATTAGAAACATGCTGCAAAAAATGACTATGAATATTCATATTCAAAAACATCATTTCAGGCTTCTTGAGTGTATAAATTCTGTGTGAAAAGAATGGAACAGTTTTCTGCCCCCTTTGTTTCTCTCCTTTTTCTGTGCTTAGATAATGTGCTGTCTCTTTTGATAAAGGGCCTACTTAGTATAGAGAGAAAGAAATAATTACATTAATTCTTCTGCTTGGTCTATCCAAATAATTCCAGAGATGTTTTCTTAATAATTCCTTTGTTAAGTGTTAGACCAACAATAATCACTTTATTTTAGTGTATTATTATTTTTCTCTTGAGAGATGAGATCTCACTGTATTGCCCAGGCTGGTCCTAAATCCCTGGACTTAAGTGATTCTCCTGCTTCAGCCTCCTGAGTAGCTGGGACTACAGGCATGTGCCACAGTTCCCAGATACAATCACTTTAGAAGTCGATAGGATCCTAAGGTATCTTCCTTAAGGTATTTCCAAGGTGCTGTGCTTTTGCCTCTAGGTTATTTTCAGACTCCTCAGCATTGCTAGTACCCCTTGACCCTCTGTATCTGCAGGTTCCCATGTGTGGATTCAGACACCCATGGATATGGAGGGCCAGCTCTGGAGGGGACTTGAATATCTGTGGATTTTGATATCTGCAGGGGCCCTGGAACCAATCCCCCATGGATACTGAGGGCTGATTGTATTATAATCCTTAGAATGTTATCAGTTCTTGTGCTGTTGGTTTCACTTTTACCCACAAGCAGCTTTTTTTTTTCTTTCTTTTAGTAAGGAATTTCAATAAATCAACAAGTATTTATTTCTACCTATAATATAGGCAGTGACTCATGTTTTGTTTGTCATGCTCATCGAATAGTTTAAAATAGAGAGTTTGAAAATATCCCTTAATAAGAGAATGGATAAAATGCAGTATATTCATGTAACAGAATGCTGCATAGCAGGATGAACTAATATATGTAACAACATAATAAATCTTGCAGATATTTTGTTGAGCGAAAGAAGCCAGACACAAAAGGGTACATACTGTAAGATTCCATTTATATGAAGTTCAATTGCTGGCAAATCTGACCTATGATACTAGAAGTCAGGATAGATGTTACCAGGCTGGGTGCGGTGACTCACGCCTGCAGTCCCAGCACTTTGGGAGGCTGAGGTGGGTGGATCACCTGAAGTCAGGAGTTCTAAACCAGCCTGGCCAACATGGTGAAATGCCGTATCTACTAAAAATAAAAAAAATTATCTGGGCATGGTAGTGTGCACCTGTAATCCCAGCTACTAGGGAGGCTAAGGCACGAGAATCACTTAAATCCAAGAGGTGGAGGTTACAGTGAGCCGAGATCACACCACTGCCTGGGCAACAGAGAGAGATTCTGTCTAAAACAAAACAAAACAAAACAAAACAAAACAACCCGAAAAGTATAGAACCTACCACGGTGGGAAGTGGGCTTAGGAAAGAGGTGCTTCTGTGTGCTGTGTTCTGTCTTTTGACCTGAGTGCTGGTTAGTTACCTAGGTGTTTATTTTTTGAAAGTTCATTCAGTGAACTTTAAATGTTCATGAGAGAACATTTTGTGAAAGTTCATTCATGAATTATGCACTTTTCTGTATGTTCATTATATTTTAATGAAAAGTTAAAAAGGATGATACCATACAGAATTAACTAAAGGCATAATGTTGGTCATGGTTAGAGCTTAAAATTATGGAAAACCAGAGAGATGACTTACTTTTTTCGGGCACATATACTCTCTCTTTAAAGTGATCTTTTTAAAAGTAATCAATTATGAAAGTGATAAATATTACATTACAAAATAAAAGGAAGTGTAGCTAAACTGTGCCTTTAAAAATCTTTCAAGCCAGGTGTGGTGGCACGTGCCTGTGGTCCCAGCTACTCAGGAGGCGAAGGCGGGAGGATCGCTTGAGCCCAGGAGGTTGAGGATGCAGTGTGCTGTGATCATGCCACTGTATTCCAGCCTGGGCGACAGAGGGAGACCCTGTCTCAAAACAAAAAACACAACAACAACAAAAATGTATTTCACCTAAGTCAGACTTCACACTACTTAGACTGAGGACAGTCTTTGGAAACAGTAACTTGGGACATTTACAGATGTATCTCATTATTTTTTAGATTTCTTTTCCTTTAATTAATTAAAGTCAGTGCCTTTTCATGCACTTAATAGTCATTTGTATTTCTTTCATGGCTATTTTGTGTATGTGAATGCACTTCCCCTTTTCCTCTTGTGTCTTTTTTTTCTTTTCTTTTTTTTAAAATAAAGTTGATTTGTTTTGGGTCAGTGGTTCTCAATTCTGGCTGTGTTTTGAATCACCTGGGGAACTTTTAAGAATTATCAATGCCAACGCCTCACCCCAGGCCAAATAATTAGGATCTCTAAGGGTTGGGCCTAAGCCTTGGTATTTTTAATGTTTGTGTGTGTGTATACATTCTATTATGGAAATTTTTATGCGTTGCAACATGTATAACAAGTTTTTGTTTGTTTGTTTTGTTTTGTTTTTTGAAAGAGTTTTGCTCTTGTTGCCGAGGCTGGAGTGCAATGGTGCGATCTCAGCTCACCGCAACCTCTGCCTCCTGGGTTCAAGCAATTCTCCTGCCTCAGCCTCCTGAGTAGCTGGGATTACAGGCATGTGCCACCATGCCTGTCTAATTTTGTATTTTTAGTAGAGACGGAGTTTCTTCATGTTGGTCAGGCTGGTCTTGAACTCCCGACCTCAGGTGATCCGCCCACCTCGGCCTCCCAAAGTGCTGGGATTACAGCCGTGAACCACGGCACCCAGCCCATCAGGCATTCTTAATCCCACTCTGGACTTCAGCAATAGTTTCTTTTGTTGCTTCATCTTTGTGGGCCACTTTACTTCAGGTTAGAAGCTGTATCCATCAGAGTTCTTAGGTGTCAGTAATAGATACCATCTCTGGCTAATTAATTAAAAGGGTGACCCACAGATTCTGTAAGTAGGCTGAGAAAGTAGGCTTGAAAACTACACTGCCAGGAACATAGTGCAAAATCATTGCACAGAACTCTCATGAAGACACCTCTCTGGCCACAGACCTTGCTGCTTATGCTCCAAACACCACTGACACTGGGCTCTGGGTGCTGCCTCCAAGAATCATTATCTCTGCTGCCCCAGAGCACTGGATGTGGCTGCTCCTACTGCTGCCATCCCCACCAGGTGGATTCTTCTGGAGTTCCTTGCTTCCCCAAGTTAATCATTTTCCCCCTTGAAATCTAGCATAGTGCATTTTATTGGTGGAGCTCTGTTATGTGCCCCTATCCTAGTTTCAAAAAAAGATGAGAAAGCAAATATATGTTTTTTTTTTTTTTCCTTCTTTGTACTTTAGTAGTGGAAAGTCTACTTGTCCCATAAGGTAGGGTGTGCTTAAATGTAGACTCAGCATTCAAGTGCTTGGTGTAAAAAAAGAAAGTCCACTGTAAAAGCTCTGTGTCAGTCTTAGAAACCCACTCCTTTTAACCTAATGATCTATCTTATAACCATCAGCTTTTCTTACATGATGCAGTAGATATTTGATGCAGGAATATGCCTTGTTTCTGGGTGCCATATTGCCTTGTACATGGAGCTGTATCTTTATTTCTGAAGAACAATATATTTTTAAAAACCCATTCTAATTTTAGCTAGTTGCAGGCATTCCTATTTTGTTTTACGAATAAACTCAAGAAGATATAATAGTTAAAAGCTCAACTGTAACAAATGTTGATATTTCCTGGTGGTGTTTTCATGGATAATTTTCTAGCTTATAGGTTATTTGCCTTTTTTCAGGTGTGATCTTTCTGTGGAAAGTGGGAAACACTGTATTAGAACCATTAGTGGATATAAATAGGATGATACCTGCTTTTTCAAAACAAAGATGGTATAGCTCTCATTATTGCAAAAGTATTTTACTCTGAGTTACACAATGAAACATTGTGAACACAGGCTTTTAAAAATTAACACAAAAAGCACATTCTTGGCTTACATGTGGTAACTTTAACAACCAACTAGTGGAGTTTTTATCTGCTGTGAAACCAGGGCGTAGTTGAATGAACGAAGCCATGGACACTCTGGGTCAGAGGCCTTGGTGATACTATCTTGGTTCTGCTGGTGGTGTGCAGCATTACTTTAGGTGATTCATTTATGTTCTGCATTTAATCTTTCCAGTTCCTAAAGAAGAATTAATGTTACCATCCCTTCCTCTTCACTTTTCTCACAGTGGTGTATTAGAAGATCTGAGACAGGTGTGATTGAGCTGCTTAGAATAAACACGTGGTAACATAAAGGTTGTTACAGTAAAAACAAAGATGAGTGTACTATAAAATCTTCATAGCAAGATGCACCCTGTTGTTTAGTATGTAACAAGAAACCGTTGTAATATCCTGATGTAAGGTTATGTTTCTGAATTTTCAAACCAGGTGGCCCCTCAGTTTTGAATACTTGAGAACTGCAGCTGTGGATTTAATGGGTTTAATAGGAAATTCACTTCAGGTTCATCCATTTGACCTGTGCTACAGAGCCAATAGAAATTACATAGAGTGTTTCTAAAACTTACTTCCAGAAAATTCAGGCTAGCTTTAGCATTCGTCACCTAGCATAGGAGAAGTCTTATTCTACAAATGAAGGAAAAAAAAAAAAAAAATCCAGGGTTTCCAAATGTGATAAAATTGTAACAGACAAGGTCAGGAATCAACTTACTGGTTGCTCAGTATTTAGTGATACATTTGACTCCTTTTGTGGTTTCAGATAGCAATTATTTCTAATATAATTTATTTTGCAGTGAGGGCCGAGGCAAGTTGACGGTATTTTCAGTTAAAGCTATGTTAGCAACCATGTGTGGTGGAAAAATGCTGGACAAATTGAGATGTAAGTATTTTCATATTATTTGAAAAATGTCATTTTCAAGTTAGGACTTTTAAATGAATATTGTCAGAATTTTGAATGATGTTATACTGAGCTTTTAAAAAAATGACCGTTATCACTCACTGCAGCAGCTGGCCCACAGTAGGTCAGTTATGCCACCTACTGTTGAGATGGAAAAGTTGGTTGATTTAATTTATTGTTAGTGTGTTTTAGTGAGAAAACTGAAAGGACTCAGAATTGTAATGCTGACGTTTAAAAACTTATTTTGGAAATGTTTTCCACATTATTAAAATTATGCTTGAAAATGATTATATGGAGAACTTTTCGTTAAAGTAAATTTGATTGCTTTTACTAGGTTTGGTCTGTTTTAGCTCTTAACAACGCCATTCTTCATCAGGTGATGTCTGCTGTGATTACGTTATTCCTTACTACCCTAGAGTCAGCCACAGTTATTTAGAAGCTGATGACTTGTTTTTTAAAAATATTCCTGTTATGTTTGCTAATTTTTTTTAACCATTAGTCCCTTTGGCATTTCACCGTTCATTAGATACTGTAAGAAGGTGATTAGATGAAATCAAAAGAGATGAAATTCACTAATTTTGCTGCTTATGGTTTTTATTTATTCAGTCATTAGTTACTAACTCCCTAAGATATGCCAAGAATTGTGCTAGGTGCTTTACATATATTTTCTCATGGAATCCTTAAAATTCCTTTGAGCAGCAGGTGATATTTTCTTCATTTTTATCAATGAGTTAACCCAGGGGGCAAAGCTGGGGTTTTAATTCAGACGTCAGAGCCTTGTTCTGAGCTATGTGATTGTGCTCCCCGGTACGGGCGCTGTAGCAGGAGACACACATGTAATTTCAGTACAGTGTTCAGAGTGCCATAAAGCAGTAGCCACGGAGTAGGAAACTGGATGCCAGCTTTCAGGGGTTGAGACTGAAGTCTTAATGAGGTAGTCCAGTACCCTGTGAGCCCGGATTTGGATGACTGTGTCCTTGCCATGTTCCTCTGTGCCCTGCTTTTTTTTTTAAATTGAAAGATACAGAGGCTTGATCAGATTCAAGTATTAATACAGGTTTTTGGGCAAGATTACTTCAGAGGTGTATTTGTTTTTTGTGCTTTTTCTTTCTTTACTATGACACTGAAAGTTGGAAAGCTAGATGGCCCACTAGATACAGATTTAGCTATTCCAAAGAAAGATCTTAATGTATTTGATCAACTGTTATCCAGTTTATCTTCATTTCAAAATTAGCTGCAATGTAGAACATATTTTTGGTAATAAAAATTATGGTTTTATTTAAGTATTCTTGTGAGGTTTTTCACATGGTATATCTCAAAATATTATTTGGGCTGAAATTTCTTTTATATTTTTGTAAAATATAAAAATGATGTTTTTCTGAGGAATAGAATATATACGAAAGTATATTTCATTCAAACACAAAGAAAAGTTGTAATCTTGTCTGATTTTTTAATGATCTAGATAAAGAATATATATACCATCTTTATTAATATTGGGGAGACTAGTTGAAAAATACAGTAGTAGAGAAATACATTAGCAGAAAATTAACTGTATTCTAGATGACTCTGGAATCTTTAAGTTTCTTTAAAGTCTACTATATTTACATAGAGCCAGCTCACCTGGCACATAGTAAATACCTAAAATTTTGTCAAATGTAAATTGTTGATTGAATACCAAAATTACTCCAGTTCTGTGTTGTAACTGTTCATGAAAAGGCAGAAATTCTAGTTCTCGGTTTGGAAGGGGTCCAGGTGATAGCAGTTTTTTTAGATGTGGATTCTGAACTTTTTGGAGGAACACAAAGTGACCAAGATTGAAGTGGCACAAAGGCCCATGGGCCAAGCCAAAGGTGACATGTCAGCGTGCTCAGGACCCCAGATCATTGCAATAGTGTTTGGATGGATGTGATAGGGACTGTGCTGGGTTACCAATCACTGTGTTTTTCTGATTCAAGTAGATTTCAAGTGTGATTTATCTTTTCCATGCTAAAAATTGTTGTTTCTCTGCCAGTTGTAGGTCTGTTTCATTATTTTTGTTGTACTGTAATTATCTTGGCTTGGGATTGAGATGTTCAACGTAAGTAAAATATTCGGGCAGGGAAGCCTGTCTCTACTTTTTAATCTTCCAGGGTGGAAACCACTTTAAAATGTATTAAAATGTGGCCTGCCCCTTCGATTTTAAACAGTACTTGGCTGGGTGCAGTGGCTCATGCTTGTAATCCCAGCACTTTGGGAGGCTGAGGTGGGAGGATCACTTGAGGCCAGGAGTTTGAGACCAGCCTGGGCAATGTAGCGAGACCATGTATCTATAAAAGTAATTTTAAGACTGGGCGTGTTGGCTCACGCCTGTAATCCCAGCACTTTGGGAGGTTGGGGAGGATCCCCTGAGGTCAGGAGTTCGGGACCAGCCTGGCCAACATGGTGAAACCTTGTCTCTACTAAAAATACAAACATTAACCTGGCATGGTGGCACATGCCTGTAATCCCAGCTCCGTGGGAGGCTGAGGCAGGAGAATTGCTTGAGCCCAGGAGATAGAGGTTGTAGTGAGCCAAGATTGTGCCACTGCACTCTAGCCTGGCCGACGGGGTGAGACTGTGTCTCAAAAAATAAATAAATAAATAAATAAAAAAGTAAATAAATAAAAATAAAAGTAATTTTAAAAGTTAGTTTGGCATGGCGGTACATACCTGAGGTCCCAGCTCCTTGGGAAACTGAGCCAGGAGGATCACTTGAGCCTAGGAGTTGGAGGCTGCAGTGAGCTATGTTCATGCCACTGCAGTGCAGCCTGGGTGATGGAGTGGGACTCTGTCTCAAGGAAGAAAGAAAGGGAGAGAGAAAAAGAGAGAAGAAAGGAGGGAGGGAGGGAAGGAAGGAAAAGAGAGAGAGACAGAAGGAAGGGAAGAGAAAAGAAAGATAGAAAAGAAAAGAAAGAAAGAAATCAGAACTCACTGATTATACTTTTAACATTTTCATCTCTTAAGGATGCCATTTTCTGATGCATTTAGGATTTAGGGCCAATTGTAGAGCTTGATTTGCCTATTCCTCCTCCTCCTATTTTGAGACTGTTGTGTTTTTTCAGTTCTTGAGTTTTTCGTTGTTGGTGGTGGCGGCGGTGATTTGTGTATATCCTTTGTCACTGGCAAATATTATGGTATGTATTTTCAGTGTACCACTCTCTGGAAATCGTTCCTTGCTTCTGACCTACTACTTTTAATATGCTACAGACAGAGAAGTCATAACCAAACCTCTTAGCATTCTATTTAAAATAAGGATTTAAAGTGATTGTTACAAGAGAAGCACTTGAGCTTGTGTAGTATGATTGTTAGTTTTGACTATTTTCAGAACCTTTCCCTCCTTGTTTTCTAGTTCTCAGCAATGTCCTACTTAGTTGAGGTGGCTGAATAATTGTGTAGCCAAAAGAGAGAAATAACACTGTATTGTAACGCAAATGATCTTTGGTTGTTTATTCACTTTCTTCTATCTAATTATTCCATTGTTTTGGTTATTTTTGTTCACTCCAACCTCCTTCTGCTGACTGGACTCTATTGTTACCTCTATTAATGCTCCTGTTATATTAAGTTTTCTCATTTATGGAATGTTTTAGCATTTCTACTTTTTTTTTTTGCTTTGATCTTCCTACTTTTTACTTCCTTAGAATTTTTCCTATGATTTTCTCCCCTCTCCTTTTTTTATTTGACATAGAGTTTTTGGTTTGTTTTAGTATAAAAATAGCATTTGAATGACTGAAAAAATATTTGTACTTTTTGTTTAAAACATTTCTCAGATTTTTCAGATTTGTCTTAAGAGAGTTTCTGTCTCCAGGTAGCATTCATTTACAGAGATGGTTCACTGTTGTGGCCATTAGACACTATGTCCTAGATTCAGAGGTAACTTTTATCAGGATTCTAAATACCAATGATTTGTAATCAGAATACAGACTTTTAATTAAAAACACAATCAAAATTCAGTAATGTCAGAAACCCAAAATATAACTCAAGGAAACAAATTTGTAAACTGTAAAGCCCATTATGTATTAAAACATGCTTAATTATCAATTAATTTGACTGTGCAATTTATTTACTTTAATTCTGCTATTCGTTTTCGAAGAAACTTAGTCTCCTTATTCAAATTGCATCTGGTTGCACTAAAAGGAGCAAACGATTCATACATTTATTTTAAAATTCATTAAAAAGCTGGTGCTACCATTTTGAAAGGCACTTTAACAGTATATTTCAGGAAGCCTTTAAAAAGATTCATATTCATTCACTAAGTCTACTTCTTGAGTTTATCCTAAGGAATTAATCAGAAGTATACCCCAAGTTTTTTGTATATTTGTTGCAACACTTATTTGAAAACTTGAAACATCTTTAGTGTCCAAAAGTGAGAACTCAGTTAAGTTTTAGGACACCCACATGATTGAATATAATGTCTTTATAGGTTTTAGATCAAAATGCATAAGTGTAATATAGTTTTAAACAAAAATTTGCTATGCATATAGAAAATAAGAAATATACCAAAATAACAGGGGTTTTCCTCTGGGTTCTAACACAATGGTTTTATAATAATTTATATTATTTATCTTTTTGCATGTTTTTGATAGACCACACTATCAGCAGTCAGAGAAAAGATGACCTGAGATTCTTTCTGTTTTGATCAGAATTGACTATTCCTACTGATATTTGAACTGTTTGCTTCCTTGATGTTTCATCAGCAGACTGTAGAAGGGCCTCCCTTTGAAGTTATAGTTAACCAGTTTCACCTGTTCAGAATTTAGACTCTTCTGCTGTAGTTTTTTAACCACCCATGGCTGCATAATTATCTTCACTGGTTTCTGTTAACCATCCCTTCTCCTCAGTAGATGGAAGTGACTGTTTAATCTGAATGAGTGATGGCTAGATTTACATTTTTCAAATAACCAAAATGTTTTAGAAATGGAAGAAAGAGATAAGCCTTAAATGTGTATTTTATGAATAAAGGGGAA